AAATGATGATGAGTTGCAGGTAAAGGAAGGACCAGATTGTTTTAAAGAATTTAAAAATAATCTAAGTTCTCCAAAGAGCTGGGTGTGGTGGCACAAACCTATAATCTCAGCATTAGGGAGGCTGAGACAGGAGGGTCACATATGTGAAGCTAACTTGGGATATATGAGGACATTCTGTTTCAAGTTACTTTCACTCACTCACCCAAACAAAAAGAATTAAAGTATTGGGACCACATACAATGTACAACAAACAGTGCAAACAGCATGGATGGGCATGTTAGCTTGATGGTAGCGTCAGAAATTCAGAGATTCAGAGACTATAGGACCAGTTTTCTCCCATACTTTGGTTCCCCTTTCTTCTCACCCTGAGGAGGACAAAGTAACCTGAAAACCATAGCAGTTGATGGGGTGGGGGGACATTCCAGGGATTTCTGTCCTACTTTCCAGATAGGATGTTCCCTCCTTTCCGTTACTGACTTTTATGACACCTGTCCTTGGTGGCATATGGCATGACTGGAAATTAAATGACTTGTGAGAGAATTCAAGGGAGTAAAAGGCAGAAAAAAAGAAAGAAAGAAAGAAAGAAAGAAAGAAACAAAGAAAGAAAGAAGAAAAAAAGAAAGAAAGGAAGGAAGGAAGGAAGGAAGGAAGGAAGGAAGGAAGGAAGGAAGGAAGGAAGGAAGCCAGCCAGCCCTGTGACTCTGACCCCAGAGCTCCAAATTGCTTCACTAACTTTTAAGGCATATTTACAGGACTGTGACAAGAATGTCTCCTGATGCAAGACAGTAAAAAAGGAATATATACTGCACACGGTAGAGGCAAATCATCTTAAGATGCCTATTCTTCTCTGTGAGGCCATAACCTACTCACTCAGTGCTGAAGATAAGATGGTGGACAAAAATGGTCTTGGAAATTGCTCTTTAGGTCATCTTATTTTTCTAGGAAAGACAAACATTTAGCATATTATGATGCAAGTAAGTTTATAAAGTATCACAAGAGTTAACTTTGGAATCAGAACAAGTAGGCTCAACTTCTGATTCTGCCTCTTCTGTTACTCCGGGGCAGAGCACTTAGAATCTCTGTCTCTACTTCCTAGCTGAATAATAGGAATGAAAATAGTTCCCACTACTGTTCTGAGGATCCAGTGGGTCACTCTACACATAAGCATTTATGCACTGAAGGTGCACACGTTAAGTGCGACATATCCACTCAATTTATAAAATACTTGATTGACTTTGAATACATTCAGCAGCTTACCCCCAAATTCTCCTCCCTTGACCACAGTCCAAGTACATAGCCTTCCCCTTTGACTTGGCAACATAGGCAGGAGTCGGGAAGCCGAAATGATAAATGGTGGGGGGAAAGCTGCGTGTGGGTTTAGTTTGAGATCTGTCTGCCCCATATATGGCAGTAGTAGAATCTCTGAAGAGATGTTTTCTTCTGATAAAGTTTCCCTTACAGTTCTAG